TCGACCACATCAGAGGCCACAGCATCTTGGTGTTCATATATTGAATATATCTCGTTGTATATATATATGTATATATATATATATATTCATTTTATTTCGTCTAAGGTGATAAGGTGACTAGTAGTTGAATTTTTCCACAATATATATATATATATATCCAAAATCTATGCATTTTTGTGAGGTGTAACGTATATATACGGTAGTTGGCGATAAGTCGGCAGCTTGAAAATGGTTGTAAGGATGATGCACTGCTTTGATTTAGCCAGTCGTATGACATGAACGATTAGCACGTTGTCACTGTAATCGAAGATTGCCTCGTGAACGTCTATAGGAATGTTCCGTTAAGGCCAACCAACAGTTGGCCAAGAGGAATCGTCTTTTGCTGAGATCAGCCCTCAAATTTCTTCACTACACACTTTCTCTCGAACTGAAGGCGAACTTAAAGCATCTTTCGGTTCAATTCTACACCAACTCTGCTACTCTTCATTCTGACGGTCCGTGGATCTGACTTGCCGTCGCCTCAGTGGCTTTGGCAGCAGACTGATGGGATATACGAACCTTGATAGAAACCATGACGACAGAGTTGCCCACTGAAAAGGTCAGCTTGAGACTTGAGTCAAAATCTCGAAGTCTGGAGTTCAGGATGAATAATAATTCGGATGGAGAACTTCGATTAAGTATTAAAATGGAAGATACGAAAAATAACTGGGTTTCGATGAGTCTCCTGAGATAACAATGCTGGAGGACTTACATTTCGTATGAAAGTGCATGAAGAAGAGATTTGTAGATCGATCTCAGCAGAAGAGGAGGAATGAATCCCGTTTTAGTGCAGCCTTTTGGCTTTTATACTAAGTTCAGGTTGACGCGTCCACGAGACTTCTCCTCTCGTTCCGGGTGAAAACGGGCAAAGCTTTCTTCCATCATTCGATGGAAAACATCAGAGCTAGGTGTCATTCCTGTAAAAGTCTCACGTTAACACTAAAAGCAAAAACACTATCCGGCTCTATATTACCTCTTATGCAGACTCAAGTAGGTAAAAGAAAATTAAAAACCTATATAGATAGATAGATAGATAGATAGATATAAAGATAGATAGACAGACAGACAGATAGATAGATATATGAATCAATAGTTAGTTAGTTAGATAGATATATAGATAGATAGATAGAAATATATATATAGGTAGATAGATAGATAGATAGATAGAGATAGATAGATAGATAGATAGATAGATAGATAGATAGATAGATAGA